AGAAATAGTTCTACTGTGTGCATACACTAATTTGTACGTATGGTATATGCAGGTGTGCATGTGTGTGTTCTCATGTGAACTTGTGTGTGCACATGTGTGTGCGTACATGTGTGTGTGCACGTGTGTATGTGTGTGTGGAAGTCAAAGGAGACAGCTGCTGTTCCCCTTTATTATTCTCCATCGTCTTCTTTTGAAACAGGGTCTCTCATTACACCTGGAGCTCACTGTTCTCAGGTAGCCTGGTTGACCAGCAAGCCTCAGCAAGGCTCCTGCCTCTGCCCACCAGTGTTAGGTTATAAAAGTCAGTAGCAGATGTTGGGATCTGAACTTAGATTCTTAATTTCTTATGTCTGGAGCCATATCTCTAGACCAAAGAGGTTGTTTTTAATGTGTGAATTCAAAAGTTCTTTTTAAAAATTAAATGTAAACCTAAATGGATTTTTTTTACTTTTTGGTTTGTTTTGTTTTGTTTTTTGAGACAGGATTTCTCTGTGTAGTTTTGGTGCCTGTCCTGGATCTCGCTCTGTAGACCAGGCTGGCCTCAAACTCACAGAGATCTGCCTGGCTCTGCCTCCCGAGTGCTGGGATTAAAGGCATGTGCCACTGCCACCCGGTGATTTTTTTTTCACTTTATAATTAAAGGAAGATTACAATTTGCCACTGCTGTTTAGTGTATACTGTTCAATATTAGTTTCTGATGTTCTCTCTCTAGTAACTCAAGTCCAAAAACTAACATTTCTAAAGAGCTTCACAAATATAGACAAAAATGAGCCAAAGAAAATAACTTCTTGATGTAGAATATTATTGTAAGATATGCTACATTTGTTTATGCTGTGGAACATCTGCTTTAATGATGTAAAGTTGTATTGCACTCTTTTATGTTGTATTTGCTTAACTCTGTGAAGCTGTGTTACTGTACCTGTCTAAAACACCTGATGGTCTAATAAAGAGCTGAACGGCCAATAGCTAAGCAGGAGAAAGGATAGGTGGGGCTGCCAGGAAGCGAGAATAAACAGAAGGAGAAATCTGGAGAAAAAGAAGGAGCCAGCCACCCAGCCACCCCACCAGCCACAGAGTAAGAGTGAAAGTAAAATATACAGAAGTAAGAAAAGGTGAAAGCCCAGAGGCAAAAGGTAGATGGGATAAGTTAAGAAAAGCTGGCAAGAAACAAGCCAAGCTAAGGATGGGCATTCACAATTAAGAATAGGCCTCTGTGTGTGATTTATTTCAGAGCTGGGTGGCAGGCTCCCCAAAGAGCTAAAATAGCAAAGAGATAAAAAAAAAAAAAACAGCCCACAACAACTTATTTTACTATTTTTCTCTGTGCCATTTAGACATACAAAAAACAAGGTAGGAACAAATTATTGTGTTTTCACTTTTTATAAATAACATAAAACACACAACGTTCCATTTCAGCCTCTAAGGAGACTATCTTAGCAATGACTGCATTGCTGCACAGTGAAGAGTGCCTTTACTCTCACTGACCTTGGGAGAGTCCCATCATCTTAAACTCCCTGCACTGAAAAGCTCATGCCATGACTTAGCTGCTAATGTGTCATCTACTGATGAGGAGGATTTTAAAAGCTCCCACTTTCAGGCATTAATAAAAGTGGGGATCAGGAAGTGCTAGTCTGGCTTTCCTCTGTGATGAAATTCAACTTCATAGAGGAAAGGATGCTTTTGCCTCACAGTTTTGTTCTGTGTTTAGCTTGCCTCATTGTTTGTGGCCTTGGCAAAACAGGACACCATGCAAAGGGGAATGTGTTACCTCCTGATGACAGGAGAGGAGGTGGGTGTGGGGGCCTGGGGACAGTCCCATGTACACATTCCCATGTACCAACTTCAACTAGGTCCCACTTCCTCGGTGCCTATCACCTCCCAATGGGTACTGAACTAGGAATCCATCAGTGAATTACTGCACTGATGAGGTCACAGTCCTCAGGATCCAATAACTTCCCAAAGCCCACTGAATGGCAACCAACCCTGAAGATCTGGAGGACATTTTGGATGGAACCCATAGTTTGAACTATACTGTGGTTTTTAGCAACTACCATATCTAAGATGCATTTCAGATATCAGGTGGGTCAAGGTGATATAAATTTGAATTCTAGAATATTTTCTGGAAGATTTTCATTCACCACTCAAACATGACTCTAATATATAATATTGTATCAGAATGATGGCTGTCGATTTTGTGAATTCTTTGATGAAATCAAGGAAGAGACCTTACAAAGTCTTGCTCATTTTCTTAAAGTATAGATTTATTTAAACATAAATTTAACCATCTGTCTCAAGGCTGGACTCATTCCAAACTGATTTTCATGATTAAAGTATTCTAAAGAAATAACTCAAAGATCTAATCAATTTTAATTGGCTATAAAATATCACAGCACTATTCATAATGCATGAAGAGGCAATTTAAGAAAATCTACTTTCCAATTACAGAAAAATTTCCTTTTGAATGAGATCTGAAGCTATTGCCTACAGTTCCAGCAATAAGACCCTCTTACTCGGTCTGCATAGGATAAGGGATGATCGTGGACATGCCAACCCCTCAGCATTCTTTTTTATCCCTCAGAGAGAATGGATAATTAGGAAGAGGGGCTGTCTCCCCAATCCTATAATAAAAGACAGTGATGAGATCCTTCCAGCCTTTCTAACGTGGTGGTACTGGGCTTGTGTGACAAAATTCTGCATCCTTTCCTTGACAAGTATGGGACATAAGCAGAAGCATTCATGCTTACACTCATTCAGAGAAGGCTTCGTGAACACTAGCATGAATATTGTGAGGCTTGGGAGACATAAAACTCTGGAGTAATTCTAGCCACACAGTCAATTAGGTAGGCTGCAACTGAATACATAATTAGTAAGCAATTTGTTTAAACATCTTTTCTCATTCTTCAATATATCCTCAAGTAAAGTATAAAACTTCCAACAAAACCATATTTAAGTTCACTTTATTTAATACCATCTGTTTCAATATGGTGTTACTTAAATTTTGTGAAATTAGCATTCATGACATTTATTCTTAAAACTACTTTTTAGGGGCTGGAGAGATGGCTCAGGGGTTAAAAGATTTTTGTTGCTCTTTCAAAGGAACTCAGGTTGGGTTCCCAACACACACACACTGTGGCTCACAACCACCCCAACCCCAGTCACACGAAATCTGGGGCCCTCTTCTGAACCCTGTGAGTACCAGACACGCAGAAGGTACGCATACCTATACACAGGCAAAACACTCATATACATAATATAAAATCTTCTTTTTTTTTTTTTTTTTTTGGCTTTTCAAGACAGGGTTTCTCTGTGTAACAGTCTAGGCTGTCCTGGAACTCACTTTGTAGAACAGGCTGGCCTTGAACTCATTGAGATCCTACCTCTGCCTCCCAAGTGCTCGGATTAAAGGCACGCACCACCACTGCCTGGCTATAATATAAAATTTTAAAACCCCTTTTTAATTAGTTTTTTAAGGGTGCTACATCTAGAACTGTAAGTGCCTAAACATAAGAATATAGGTGAAACTGATGTATATTTCCATAGCATGAACATAAGGGGAAAACAGAGGGTTCAAAATACTTGAGAACAAATAGACAGCTCTCACTACAAACAGGAGAAGAGAAGCGCTAACCCTCTAACAGTTAGGGTAAAGTGCTTTCGTCTCCCATTTTCACTAATCAAGTTTTACTAACTCTTGATCTTCATTGGAAGGAGCAATACTAACCAGACTACGGACACTGAAATCACAGGGTCCTGGTTTCAACTAGTCTCCCATCATGAACTTAAACTGTGTAAACATGTGTCCAGGAGAGTTTTCCAGGGTTTAGGGGTACAGCTCGAGGAGTGGTAAAGCGCCTATCCTAGGTTCTATCTCCAGCACAAAGGGAGAAAGAAGGAAAAGAGAAAGATGGAGAAAAAGAGAGGGAGGGACAGAGAGAGAGATGGAGGGACAGATGGACAGAGGGTGGGAGTAATGAAGGAGGGTGATGGAGAGATGAAGAGAGGGAGGGAGGGAGGGAGGGAGGGAGGGAGGGAGGGAGGCAATTAAAGGCATTGTCTTCAGACATTCTCATTGCCTTGCTACTATAGTGTTCCGCCAGACTCAAAAAGAATCACCTGTGAGCAAATTTCTATAAGGTGAGCAAGCTTTAAGTACAAAAGCTGTTTAAAACACCGCAACACTGATTTTGTGGTTAAACAAAAATAATCGACATCATTAAAGCAGATGTTAAAGACTAGTGATGAACTGCTTTTCCTTACCAGTCACTCTCACAGCCATGAAAGCCACGTATACTCTTCATATATACGTGACTCTCATGTATACCTGAACTAAGGTGCAGTCAGTCACATCACCGCAGGCTCACACGGATGTTTATTATGGAATTAACAAATTGGAGAGGCCCAGCTAAGGATAAAGCAGTCAACTTTACAAAGGTAACTATGCAGACAGATTGAAAAATAAAGTGGTGCTGGGACAAGAGAGATGGCTAAACATTCAAAAGAACGCTTTTTGAGTCCCTAAAGCATTCTTTACAGTAACAAAGAAATCATGATGACGTATATGAAACATGAGAAAAAAAAAACCCTCCAAATTGATAAGGATATGCCGATCTCAAAATAGTTACAGTGTGTGGAAATACATAAAGATAAAATGTGAACATGGATCTCGTTTCTCTATAAAGAGCTACTGAAATTGAGTAAGAAACAAAATAAGAAGTGGTGGGAATGGGATGGGGAGGAAGAGTGAGGAACAGACATGAAAGGGAGGTAAAGGAAAGGAGGGAGAGATGAGTTCTCTGCTAGTGAGAACTAACCAGAATCCCTCTGAATCTCTAAAACACAAAGTGAATCCGGAGCAGTCCAACAGCCAGTCTCTTTTGATATACTTAGAGATTTAGAATGTAAATTGCTCTAAATTAGACAATTCTACTCTTACAAAGACATCTATGAGCGGACCAGAATAGAAACCATCACAGTACACACTTTTTCTAATGCTGTCATACCTTTGGCTAGGGCTTCTTTATATTTCTCTTTGGCAGAATTCATTTCTTTTATTAACTGTCGATAGCTGGATTTTAATTTCTCCAATTCTGTCTTTGTGACCTGTCAAAGAAACAAGAAAAAGTAAAAAAAATTAAAAATTTTTTCAGTGTTACATTTAAATTGGTCAACAGTTTACATTCTAAGGCATTAGTTGATTTATATTTCATGACCCATAGGTGACAACTAATCTTTACCAAAAAAATAAATAAGACAATAAACTAAAAATCAGCTTTAAAATCCATGACAAATCCAATATGATATAAAAATACATGAACTTCTTTTCAAAGACAAATCAAGAATAACACAACACTAAGAGACACATTCTTAGAGCACACCCCCGATCCTCTGGCTCTTACAATCGTTCCTCCCCATCTTCCGCAATGAACCTTGAGCCTTAGGTTTAGGAATGCTCTGTGGAAATGAGCTGGACGCCCGGACCCCGTTAGCTGGCTTTCATACAGGAAGGTGCTGTGCAAGCAGTTGAGAGGGAAAAGTTCCTGAGGGTGTTAAGCCAGCTGTGGACCTTCCATGCCTCAGTACTGACCACCAGGCAAATATCTCCACTGCTGTGCTAGTAACATGACTGTTATGGAGAAAACCCACTCCATTCTTACGGGACCTGAGACCTTCTCCAAAGGAGAGAGTTCATGCCTCGGACTACAGACCTGGTCAAAGGCGACTCGGCCAGAAAGGTCACAGACTCTAGGAGTGAGCTCTTATACAAATATGTGTGTTTACACCCAAGGACCAATGCTGCCCTAAGTATTCGTCAGGGAAGCTTTTTTTTTTTTTTTTTTGCAGTAGATGGTAGTGAAAGCACAGACTCAAGGTGGAGAAGTGACTGTTGAGTGCTCAGCCCTCTAAGGAACATCTCCATTACACTCTCCAAGGTTTAGGGAACATCTTAGAAGACAGTATAGAAAAAAAAATGTGGGAGCCAGATGACAGGAAGAAGGGGCATAAAAGACTGTCTTCTAGGCCAGACACGGCCATTGCACACACAACTCCCAGCAGCTGTTACTTGCACAGGGCCTACACAAGGCTGGACCCGTCAACATTCAGTCATGGATGGAGGGAAGGCTCTTGGAGCCCAGCTCCTCCCAGGACAGCTACTAGAAGTTGACAGATGCTGGGAAATAGGAAGTCATTGTCTTCAGTGGTATGGCCAAGGGTAACCCATCCTCTACCTCCACGCCCATGTTGGTGCCCAGATTAAATTCACACTCAGTGGTGCACAAGGAAAAGGGAACTGAGAGTGGGAGGTGGACTTCCTGGGAAGGGAGGAGAGCTGAGGTGTTGAGTGGGACCAGACTATATTATACACAAGCATGAAAGTCTCAAAAACTACATTAAAAAAAAAACCTGCAAAAAAAGGGCACCAGCAATTTTCAAGGAAATGTCAGAATCCTTTTAAAAGAAATCACGCTCAACAATGCTCTTGATGACATTTTGTGAATAAACAAAAACAAAAATTCAACAACTAAGAGGTAAATATAAATGAATTCCAATCACTATCCTCTGTTTAATTTTTGAGGCTGTTCAAGAACTGATTCATTATTTTGAGAACTAATAAACTGATTCAAAAAAATTATTTATTTGGATTTTCCTATACATACTGAATTTTAGGGTATCCAAATAGTTGCAAAAACATTCTTCTTTTTTTCTTTGAGACAGGGTTTCTCTGTGGTAGCCCTGGCTGCCCTGGAATTCACTCTGCAGACCAGGCTGGCCTCCAACTCACAGAGATCCGCCTGCCTCTGCCTCCAAAGTGCTAGGATTAAAGGTGTGCGCCACCATACCCCCTCCCCTCCAAAAATATTCTACTTGACTGAAAATTTTTGTTCAATTGCATTAGGAAATAAAAAATGCAAAAGCCTTTCCATTGAAGAAACACCAATAAAATAACAGCCCCTGGGATTGAAAGCATGAGGACCTGAGTTCAGATCCCAGCACCCATGTAAAAGCCAGGCACGGCATCATGTGACTGTAACTCCAGACCTGGGAGGAGGGGCAGAGACAAAAGGATGCCAGAAGTACACGGGACAACTAGTGTGTCTGAAATGGCAAGCCCCGGGCTCGTTGGGAAACCCTGTCTCAAAAGTCAAGGTGGAGAATGACTGAGACAACCGCTATCTATCTCTAGCCTACCCAAAACACACACACACACACACACACACACACACACACACACACACACACACACACACACGCGCGCGCACACACTTGCTCTAAGTACGAAACATCAATCAGTGGTTTCTAAAGCCACTAGACAGAAGTGGGAAATCTGACAGATGATGACGGTAACTGTGGAACTGATTAGTAAAGTTTAATATCATAAAAAGAAAAACAAGCTTTATGTACGCCCTGATATGAAACAACAGGAAATCTACACAACACTTACAATCTATAACTTCAAATTTATAGGAAAATAAGATGAAAGGATTGGTTTTCTAAGGTGCTTATCAAAACTTCATAATTGAGAGGACATGATGGTACACATCTTTATTCCCAGCACTTGGGGCAGAGGCAGGCAGAGCTCTGTGAGTTCAAGGCCAGCCTGGTCTACGGAGGGAGTTCCAAGCCTGCTAAGGTTACACAGTGAGACTCTATCTCAAACAAACAAAAACGAAAGAAAGAAAAATTCAAAATTGAAGGAATTCAATTACACATAGCAGATTATCTAGTTCCTTTAGTTAGTAAATGGTATTTTTCAAAAATAAACAGGAACACCAACCAGGGGACCAAAAGGCAATTATTCAAACACAACTCATGTTTCAGGTCAGAGACTGACTGAAATAAACCCATAGAAACCACTTAACCTGCAAGTATCTGAACACTGGATATTTAGTAACATTAACTGTCATTTTTAAGCGGATTAATCAAAATGTTCTTATTTTCAAAAAGAATCCTTTTATTACCAACATACACTAAAACATTTTTGGACAAAATAATATTTGGGGCTTCCTTTAAATGACCCAATACTGGGAGAAAGCGTGAGACTACATTAAAAAAAAAAAAAGGGTGACTGTGGGTGATGGCTAGAGGGGCCACATTGTTCTTCTGTCCTGATAGTCAGAGCTCTGCAATAAAGTATTAAGAAATTACCCAGAAGAGACAAACTCTGAATGCAAAGAAACTCAGGAGTACACTAAATTATCACTAATACAAGGAAATATATATATATATTTCATTTTTATATAGGCCAAGTGCTGTTTCTTTTTATTTTTTAAAGTTTATTTTATTTCACGTGTGTGATTTGCTCCCATGTCTGTGTACCATGTGCTTGCAGTGCTCATAGAGGCCAGAAGAGGGCATCAGATCCCCTGGGACTGGAGTTACTGACGGTTATGAGCTGCCCTGTGGGTGCTGGGAATTGAACCTGGGTCCTCTGGAAGAGAAGTAGCCAGTGGTTTAACCGCTGAACCATCTCTCCAGCCCTAAAAACTATTTCAGTAAACAAAAAACACATATTCCAATCTCTAAGGCACAGCTTAATGGTCGGTATGTTTTCTCTTTGTTGGGAGTGAAATGAGAGCTTATAATCAGTAATATTCTGTACACGATAAAGTATTACTACAGACACCAAACAGGTCTTGTCAGGAAATGACAATTGTAAGGTCAAACGGGACAAAATACTAACATAGATTTTAAAACCGACTCAAGAGATCGTAAGTGCAGCCAGACACACCTTGATCATCTCTGCCTCTATCTGCTGGTGGATGCTCACATAGCTCTTCTTCACCTGCTGTTTGTCCTTGATCATCATGGTGAGCCTGTGCAAGGGCCCCGAGTTCAGGTCCTCCGCATGCGTCTTCATTATCCTACTAAGCTGCTCTGTCTGCTGAATCATCAGTAGCCAAGACTTAAAACAAATAGGAATAATAAAGAAAATTAGCAACTGTATTAGAAGTTTCCACTTAACTGCGATGTAAATGTTCAAAAGTTATAAATGTTTAGTTTTATAACAATCTTTACATTATAAATAGCAGATTTCTGCAAAACTGTACAATGACCTATGGATGACTGGTATCTCCAGCATCTTCAGGTACAAATGCTTCAGATGTCAATGAGAGTCTATGCAGAACACTGCAATGTACATGGAGCATGGTATGTGGCCTATGACCCCATCATGTTTGCTGTCACATCTGAAAATATGGCAGCTAACCTGCTCGGGACACCACAACATAATTTAAATCTCAGGTATTGCTTCTTTTAAGATCTAAATGTAACAAGCTGAGCATGTTAGCTCCTGTCTCTAATCTCAGCACTCAGAGGGCGAGGCATGCCAACTGTCACAGGTTTGAGGCCAGCATGAACTACAGAGTGAGTTCCAGACCAGCTTGGACTATAGTGTGGGATCCTGTCTCAAAACTTAAAAAAAAAAAAAAAAAAAAAAAAAAAAAAGATGTAATCAAGTCATTAACATCCCTTTTACTTGATTAATAAACATTTAAAGCATTAAAATCCATACATCTAATCTTTCTGTCTCTATGAATTTGTATACTCTATATATTTTATATATTTCATGTAATACAATTCTACAGTATTTGTTCTTTTTTTTTTTTTTTTAGGTTTTTTTTTAGGTTTTTTGAGACAGGGTTTCTCTGTGTAGCTTTGCGCCTTTCCTGGATCTCGCGCTGTAGACCAGGATGGCCTCAAACTTACAGAGATCCGCCTGCCTCTGCCTCCCAAGTGCTAGGATTAAAGGCGTGTGCCACCACCGCCCGGCTCTTTTTTTTTTTTCTTTTTAAATGTAAAAACATTTTATGGGCGCTCAAGCAAGGTCAGACGCAGGAAATCTTGTTCCTTACTGCTTAAGACATGGCTTCACTTTCAGAATATGCACTGCGTGTGTCTTGTGTGAGTGCCTGGATCTTTGGTGAAGTGGCCAGGCCTACTGATTCAAAGTTCATGAAAGTAGTGAATATGTTCAGTAAACAGCCCTTGGCCAAAAAGAAAGAGACTTATGACTGGTATCCAAATCACAACAAGTATTTTGCGCTCACGGGCACACTCCGTTTCCTTGGCCTTTACAGAGATGAGCATCAGGATTTTAAGGATGAGAAAAGACATCTAAAGAAGCTCCGTGGAAAGGGATGTATCTCATTAACTTTTCACATATTAGTGGAAAGTGACCTTCCTCAGTAGAGATCAACCCATGTTTGCATGCACTTCAGTTAAGCGGTGACTGGCTTCTTGAAGATACTCTAATTCTTCAAAATTACATTTACATTGGTTTTGTAATCTGAAGTTCACCAACTTCTCTAATGGAATGAATAAACTGCTGTTTAACAATTTGTTTAAAAAAAACATTTTATGTACAACTGCAGGAGAAATAATACACAGATAGCTTGAACATAAGAACAGGTTATAATTTAAAAGTCCAGGGTTATTTTAAACAGTAAAATATTTTCTCTGTAGAAAATAGTATAAATGATAACATTTCCCAATAAGCCCTTTTAAGCCAAACAATAGCTGAATTATACATATAAATATTGATTAGTTTCTGGGATACAGAAGAAACCTATCTTCATCTGTTCAGAGAGCTATGTTTTACTTAAGTTGTGTAAGTGAGATTCCTATTCATCTTCCCCTTCATTGTTTGATTTACGGTAGACATTTTTCTATAGGATAATCCATAATCTAAAAAGATTTTAGCCTCCCCTCCTGAAAGTACGGCCAGCATTTTCTTTCATCAGCTTGATACAGTACAAATTCTTATCCTAATAGTGACATTATCTCAAGATGGAGAAGAAAGGAATATAGAGCAATGATTTACTAAGTACAGAATCTCTGTTTTGTGTGATGGAAAAGCCCCACAAATGGACAGTAGTATCAGAACATAATATCATGAATGTAATAAATCAATACAATTAATGTAATTAATGAATATCATAAATACAATTATTGAATGAATACTGTGAATGTAATTAATGAATACCACAAATGTAATTAATAGCATGAGTATAATTAATGAAATATGAGTGTAATTAAAAAAATAAAATTTAAAAAAAAGAAAAAAAATCCATACAACAACAAAACATAAATATTGTCTAAAATATAAATAGAAATAATAACTTGTATGATTGTCTTTTTATCTGGTATTTTCATCCTACAAATATATTGAAAAAAAAGTCATATGGCATACATAGACTATTAAAGCAACAGTAAATAAACAAACGAAGCAGAAGTCCACGTTCTTGGCCTGCCTCCTGAAAGCAAATATTCTCTAAAGCTCTGTAAACTTTTTTTTTAATTATTTTTGTGAGTCTACTAGGAGCGCTGGCAGCCTAGGGGAGAAGCCACCTTGGAAGCCACATTAAAGACCACACAACTAGGTCAGGTTGCCCTCCTTGCCCATGAAGGCATATCCTGTGCTGCCCAATACCCCACTGCACTGCCACCTCACACGGCCCTCAACACCTCCTAATCCCCACTGCACTGCCACCTCACACGGCCCTCAACACCTCCTAATCCCCACGGCACTGCCACCTCACACGACCCTCAACACCTCCTAATCCCCACGGCACTGCCACCTCACACGGCCCTCAACACCTCCTAATCCCCACGGCACTGCCACCTCACACGACCCTCAACACCTCCTAATCTGGCCTACGCCACCATCTTCTACAGGTACCCTGCATCTTCCAAATCTTGTATCTGCAAAATTTCTGCCCTAAATGAGGAGAAAACTCCTCATAAACTCCTAATGGAACTTTGCATTTATTTCCTACTTTTAACAAAAATCTGGCTGTATCCCACACCATGGCCAAAAACTCGACATTACTAATAACTTCTTCCTACAAAAGGGAAAAAAAGTTCCTGCTTCTTTAAACTGAAGCTCAGCTGCCTGCCAAGACTCCATCCGTCAGATCGCCAGATTCATCTCGTGTCTACCACCAATCCCCCTACTTCTCCCCATTCCACTGCATTCCTGTCATTGGAGCTGGAGTTACTGGTGGGGGTGAGCTACCTGAAGTGGACGCTGTTAGTCAAGCATGGGCCCTTGGAAGAGCAGTACATGAGCTTACCTGTTAGGCCATCTCCTTCCCCCTTTAAATTTTTTAAAAATATTTTTACGTATGTGTATTTATGCATATGTGCACGAGTGCAACTTCAACTTTATGAATTAGAAAACCTTGGTGCTAAAACTTTCCGAATCTTCAACATAAGATAAAAAGTTCACTAAACCACTATACCATTAAGAAAGTGAGGCATGGTCCATTGGAATTCCCAAGAGTAGAAGACAGACCTGAGAGTCTGTGTAGAATACACACACACACACACACACACACACACATATTAACATGCACACATAATTTGTTTAATATGATAAAATGGGGGGGTGTAAAAATCTTTTTTTTTAAGTCTAGCCTGGAAGAAATGGATAGGTGTGTCTTCAACTGATAAAATAACAAACATATATCTGAGCAGCACGCAGTGCAAATGAACTGCTAACCCAAAAGAACAGCTCAGAGTGTGAAGAGAACAAAGGTTTGGGAGCTACATTACTTGAATCAGGTAGGAAACCAACATTTTAGAAAAGGAAGGAGATGGAAAGGTTAAGACATGGTTCATAAAGAAGCAAAACATGAACTACATTCTGACATGACCAGCGTCAGGGACTCAGGCTCAGGGGACAGTAATGGGTCAACACAAGCAAAGCACATGAGGTTCCCACGTGCCAATGTCCTAACGAAGCCATCGGTGGTACCATGAGTCCATGCTAATTTTTACATGGCCCACGCTCCACATGCACATCTTTCATGAAGCTCAGCAGCAAGCACAGCATCAGCTTCTGTTTAAGGTGATGTTGGGATGGCGATCGTTTGGCGCTTTTGCTGAGAGTGCTACACTCCTATAGATGTGTGTCCTATATTCAGATAACCGTATAGAATTATTATCCTCCTGGTAATGTAAAGTGTTATACATACTAATCTGTGCTTTCTGAACCATTTTAAATGTAAATACATCCCTCTTGACCGTGGTATATAATCCTCTTAATGTGCTATTTAATTCAACTTGCTGGTATTACGTTGTGGAGTTTTACAGCTGTGTTCATTTACCATCAAGGTAATACTTTCCTTGTAGAATGAATTTGAATGTGTTTCTTCCTCTAATTTTTTTTTAACATGTGAAAGAAACTGACGCTAACTTTTCTGTGAAATTTTGTGCAATGTAATAGTGGAAGCCATGAGACCCTAGGTTTCACCTTCTTGAAAGGTGTTTGATCTTTGAATACGTTTTTCTGCTTGCTATTGTTACATTCAGAAATTTTTCTTTGTAACTCAATCTTGATAGGTTGTATATATATTATTCTACACATATGGCATTCAAGTTGTGTTGTTTTACACAGACTCTCAGATCTGTCTTCTAACCTTGAGAATTCTACTGGGCTCTGCCTCATTCTTTCAATGTTATATTGGTTTTATGAACTTGTTATTTTATGCTGAAATTTTGGAAACTTACCACCGAAGTTTTCAGATTCATAAAAGTTGAAGTTATACTGATGCATATACACAAATATACATAATTTAAAATAATTTTTTTTTTTTTTTTTTGGTTTTTCAAGACAGGGTTTCTCTGTGTAGCTTTGCGCCTTTCCTGGAACTCACTTGGTAGTCCAGGCTGGCCTCGAACTCACAGAGATCCACCTGGCTCTGCCTCCCGAGTGCTGGGATTAAAGGCGTGAGCCACCACCGCCCGGCTAAAATAATTTTTAAAAATTTAAAGGGGGTGCTGGAGAGATGGCACAACAGTTAAGAACATGTACTGCTCTTCCAGGAGTCCCAAGTTCAAGTACCAGAACCCACATCAGGTAGCTTACAACCACCAGTAACTCCAGCTCCAGGGGGATCCAATAGCCCTGGCCTCTGTAGGTACAGGCATTTATGTGCACAGACCAAAACACAGAGCCCCCCCCACACACACACACACACAATTAAAAATAACTTAAATGCTTTTATATAAAAAGCTTGAAGTTATTAAATAGTAAAGTATTTTGCACCCTGTACTTCACTGGAAGCACTGTGTTGATAACTGGTTTGTGACAACTGTGTACTCTGGTTATTAAGTTCTAAACTTCCTCTCTATAACTCAGGGTTAGTCAAGAAAATACAATCTACATTATGCAGTTGAAAAGACAGGGATTAATTTGGGGGAAATGTTCAAGTTTTGGAAGGCCAAAAGTAGACTGGAGGACCCAGGGAGCTAATGAGGAACGGGAGAAGGAGAGGAGGGAGGGAGAGAGAGACAGAGGGAAGGAAATACCCGAGTGCCATCAGTCACTCTTCACGTTAGCTTCAGGATCTGATGATCAAGGAAGAACAAATAACAGGAACACTATCTTAGGATGGACAACAGTGAGTCGGGGGTGAGGAAAACATCTGACAGGGAAGGGGAAGGAGGAAGAGGAGTGGAGGCAGGGGTCATGTGGTGGTTTGAATGGAATTGGCCCCCAGAAGCAAGCTCATAGGGAGTGGCACTGTTAGGAGGTGTGGCCATGTTAGAGGAAGTGTGTCACTGTGGGAGTGGGCTTTGAGGTCTCCTATGCTCAAGCGACGCCTAGTTTCAGTTCACTTCCTGTTGTCTGTGGATCAAGATGTAGAACTCTCAGCTCCTTCTCCAGCACCAGATCTACCTGCGTGCCGCCATGTCACACCATGATGATAATGGACTAAACCTCTGGAACTGTAAGCCAGCCCAATTAAATGCTTTTCTTTATAAGAGTTACCATGGTCATGGTGTCTCTTCACAGCAATAGAAACCCTAAGACAAAAGAGGGAAGGAGAGGGAAAGTGAAGAAAAGAAAAGAAGAAAGTTGTATCAAATGAATTCTGTTTTCTTCTCTCAAGTCCTGTGCAGCACAAAAACAGAAAAAGAAGAAGAAAAATGATGGTCTCCATTACATCTTTCTAATTTCACTCCTTTCAAAACCAGCCTCTGTTGTCCAAATCTCAGCCCCTCAAACTGTGGATCATGGCCCCATATAGAGTACTGTAACTGACTGTGGGGTCTGTGCATGTGCATGCACACGCGCACACGCACACACCAGCTACTTTGTAGCATATTACATCCAAGTGAGGAAGTCCTTCTAGGTAAAGATCTGTGTCATTCTTGACACGACATCTTTGTTACAAAGCTACAGAGATGAAAATAAAAGAGACTTCTCACTATAATTTTGTTTTTAACTAACTAAACATAATGGTAATCCTTTACAATCCCGATGAAAAGAGGAATTAAGAAACAAAACATCTTAGCTAACCAATCCAAATCCAACACTGAATAATTCAGAACAAGACCAAGTTAACACGGAGATACTGATAGCACACACTTTCCTGTGCCCCCGGAAAACAAAATACTAATCTGAGATTTTTTTGACATTATAACATTATTCAGAGTATGTAATAATATGGTTAAAAATACTCACATAGTACTACTTTTATCTGAAATCTGTGATTTTAAATATTTTTTGTAGTTTTCTTATTCTGTTGTTTTGTAGTCAAAAACAGGATTTACCTAAAAATAAATGCTCCACTTTTAAGTCACAGCTTAAAAAATGATTTAGAATATTTTCCTTTTTCCCAACTATCAAAAAGAAGTTAGTTGCATGTACTAAATACAACCCCCAGCTGTGTAAAATAATCAATATAAATGATAAAAATGACCATTTTGTCCTTTGGAAACCAATAGAGGTCAACAGTATGAGTTATCCTGAAATGACAATATGATATTTAAAAAGTAAACTGCATGCTCAGATTATTGAAAACAAAAACTACACACAGAGAGAAAATGAACACCATTTATGGCT